GAAAAGGGTAGAAGAAGGAGATACAAGAAGAAATAAAGAAAGGCAAGAAGGAGGTAAGAAGGAGTCGACCGGGCAACAGGAAGGTTCTGCGCGGCACACTGAGATGTATGTCGCGAATCCGAGATGGCATGCGAAGGGACGAGCACGCGGGTGCGAGGGCTGGGTGTAGCGCGTCGGTGGGCCGGGCCAGTATGCAGGCCGGAGAGCGATGGGCGGAGAACGGTCGCGGCGCCGGCTGGCGAGCGGTCCGGGCGGTCCCGAGCGGGGACTTGGCCTTTTGGGACGGAGGGCGGGAATCGGCTGGGTAGTGCGGACGCGGCCGGGCGGGCGTGCGGACGGGGTTGTATTAGCAGGAGCGCGGCGCCTGGGGGGGGGGGCGAGAGAGGAGCGACGGCGGAGAGAGGCTTGAGAGAGAGGAAGCGAGCTGTCGCGGGCCGCCGGGATCGCGGACTTATGGTCTGGCCGGCGAAAAACCGAGAATGAGGGTGGAGAGGGCTTTTGGGTAGCCGCGGGGGGGGCTAGAATCGGCGAGCAATTGGGATCAAAACGATGTGAGGAGAGATGGGATAGAGCGAGATGCTGGGATGGCCGGAGCACCCCCAGCGCGGCGGGGCGGGGGAGTACGGGGGGGGCGGCCGATATAAAAAAGGGAAAGCCCGCCAAGCGGCTGGCCCTCGGGCCGACGTGTCCGAAATATAACGCCGGAACAAGTTTGCGTGCGCGCGCGGCGGCGAGGCTTCGGCCGCTAAACCGCAGTGTTTAAGAGCGCGGTAGTGGGGACTGGGCGGAATACATACGAGCTAGGGGGAGCAAAGTCCTCTGGGGATGTACCAGCGGCCTAGAAGGGGCTTGGGAAGAACAAGGCGAAAACACGATTGAGAATAGGCAAAGAGGCAAGGGAAAGGATGCAAAGGGAGGGTGATAGGGGGCAAAGGGGGCGGAGTAGCCGTACCTTGTATTTTGAGTGTCGCGAGGCTGGAGTCGGACGCGATGGGCAAGCGTCGATCCGATCGCATGAAGAACCTAAAGTCGGGGACGATAAGGAAGCCAAAGGGAGTGAAGAAGCGGCATAAGGAAGGGAGGGGGCACTGTCGCACAGCAGAAGAATAGCGAAGCAAATGGGATGGAAGCGTTTTTGGTGTAGTTTTTTCTGTGCGGGCTGAAGCCGGCGCTAAGCGAGCCGTAGGCTGCAGGCGCGGAGGAAACGCGTACGAGGCAGCCGGAGTGTAAACAGGGATGCACCAAGCGGCCGCGAGGCGCAGTGCGGAACGAAAAACTGAGTTGGCAAAAGCGCTCAGTTGTCGCAGCCGGTTATACGGCTTAGTCCACCAGGAAGAGGCATAGGGTGATGGGAAGAAAGGGGGACCGGGCGGAGAGGGGTTGGCAATATAGGAGTTCGGATGAGTCAAGGCAATAATATGGGAGAGAAAGGCCCGGCGGGACTGATTCGCAAACGATTTGTCCCGCGAAGGTATTCGCGCGAAACGATGGGCCGAGTTACGGTACAATACGGACATGCTGCCAGGACGGCCGGACTAGCAGCCCGACAGTGAGAATGAGACAGGGGAGGGAAAGAAAGGCGGGAGCAGAGGAGAGGTTGGCGGGAAGGGCGACGGAGGCAAACGACGAGAGATAAGGCCCGGCTGGGACGACTAGAAGGTAGGGCCTCATATGAGACTGCCGCGGACCGACCAGGTCCGATGCGACACATTCTACGGACAGGTGGCAGGGCCGTGCCAGGAACTGCTGGCGACATGGCAGGAGAAGAGGGAGCGGAAGGAAGGGGGATGCGGCGGGAGAGGGGGTGCAAAGGTGAGAGATAGGCGATGTGCCAGAAAGAACGGGTTGGAGAGAAAGGCCGCGGGAGGTAGGGAAAGGATTTGGGGGCTGTCGAAGTGGTTCGCGTGAGAGACGCGTGGCGATATGCGACATTACGGACTAGTCTGCTCCAGGTGGGGGGTGTATACGCCCATCGGCGCAGGGGAAGAGAGAGGGAGGGGGATGGCATAAGGGGTATGGGGGGATGTATGTTGCAAGGTCGCGCAAAGGGGGAATGACGAGCCCAAGACGAGGAGGCAAATAGGCTACTGCAGGACGAAGGAAGGAGCCCGCTCTGTGGCTTAGGGGCAATACAAGACGGCCATGCAGGGCAAATAAGGTCTTTGAGACGCCAGGGCAGCCCGAACGGCGGCCTGAGAGGAAATAATAGGATGGAGAGGGAAGGAAAAGGCAGGGCGGAGGACAAGAGGGAAAAAAGCGGGGGAGACCGCCTAGGGGCAATCGGAGTTGCAGGCAGGGGGTGGGCGAGAGGAGGAACGGGGAGAAAGCCAGGCGCTTATGGGCCAGGCTGAGCAATGCAAATGAGAAGGGGGGGGACGGGGTGGCCACCGAGTCGGGCTCGTATGATAGATGCGACTGCGAGAAGGAGGTGGAGAATAGTGGGGAAGTGGGAAAAGGGCTAAAAGGGGGAAAAGGAAAAAAAAGGAGAAGGGGTACACAGGAGGGGGGAGAGGGGAAGAGACAGAGGGGGATGAAGGACGGGGCTGCGAACGGGTGAATATACGACGAAAAGCATGCGGTGGGGGGCGACGCGAGGCGGGGCCGGAAAAAGTGAGACCCGGAGACAAGGTGAGATGGGAGCACGGCGCGAGACCGGGAAGGGGCGGCAAACGGACCGACCATAAAAGCGCGAAGCAAAGCGAGCCACGCAGCGACGCGGTAAGCTGGAGGCAGTAGGGGACAGGGGAGTCAGCCAAAGGCCGGAGAAAAAAAAAAAGGGGGTTATAACGCCACAAAAGGGGGGGAACAGGCAACGGCCTGCGAAGGATGGCCGAGGGGACACATGAGAATCGGAAAAGTAGATAAATGGAGGCTGGGCAAATCTAACCGCAGTCGGGAGGGGACGGGAATAAAGTGTACATAGGCAGGGAGGTGATAAGCAGTAGGTAAGGCAGTTCGGCGCCAGGGAAGACTGAAACTGGCGGTCAAAGGTAAGGACGGCTTGATGGAGCGGGTAGGGTCCAAAGGATGGAAGCGAATGAAGCGGGCAAAGGCGAGGGCAGCTAAGAACTAGGGCGACGAAACCGGGCAGAACCACCAATAAGGGCCGAGGGATAGGAGAGCCTGAATTAAAGAAAGACATGGGGGCATAGAGGCGACGAGAGGGTTTATTAGGAACAAGGGTGGGGGGGGGCCACACGCAAGATAAGACGCGGCGGGTGGCGGAGGAAAGAAAACGCGGACGTTGGCTAACAAGGCAAAATAGCAAAAGAGTGACAACACACGTCAATCTTCGTGCTGTGGCGCGCCGGGGGGACCAGGGAAATCAAAGGAAGGGGTGTACGAATGCGGGGCGATGCGGGTCATCGCTAGGAAGCGTCGAGGACAGACAAGGAGCCACGGGTTATTATCTGGTCGTGGGGCGGAATATGCCAAGGGTGGGCAGACCAGGACGCAGAGGGAGCAGAGGGGGGAGAGGAGGTGAGGAAGGAGCAAAATAAAAGGAAGGGGATCAAACGAAAAAGAGGAGCCAGCGTAAAGGGCAAGGAGAAATAAGCTCAGCGCAAGTATAAGCGGCGGACCGCGGATGGCCTTTTCCTGTAATCGTGCGCGGGGAGCTCGCGGCGAAGCCCGGGTTATAAGACGGGTGAACCTGAAGCGGCCAAGGCCGCGAGGAAAAGGGAGCCGGCGCTGGGAATGGGGTAAGAGGAGGAGAGGGGGAGCGCGCGGACAGACACAGCTGCATACGGGTCGCCGCGCGAATAAAAAAAAAAAATCAGTCCTGCCCACCACCTCCGGCAAGCTCGGGCGGCCACAGGGAGTAAAGCCAAAAGTCGCCGTCGGCACAGAAAGCGGGAGCGTGCCGAATAGTCCCGGTGCAGCCCCGGGAATAACGCCAGTCAGGGGCGAAGCCGGCGAAATCACGGAGGCCGCCAAGCCACGACGCGGCTGGGACCGGGAGCCACGCCGGTCCCTGTTGCACCCGTGAGGTCGGCTTTCTGGCATCGTCCAATCTATGGCCGGCTCCGGCAAATCATAAAAAAAGGAGCGGGAAGCGGGCGACGACCTAATATGCCACCAGAGGGTACTGTCAACGGCTCGCCTGGTCACGCTTGGGCTGGGTGGATGAACGGGATAGAGTTGGGAACTAGCTGTTTAGGAACAATGGGCGGCGCTGGAGATGAACACCTTCAGCAGGGGCCCGGGGCGGCAGACCAGACCTAAAAAGCCCACCGAAACGGGGGGGGGGGTGAATTAAAAAAGAAGTAAGGCGGCATGTCGGGGGCTAGGAGAGCCCATTCTACACGGCCAGCGGGCCGAAATAAATAAAAGGGGGGGGGGACCTGTAGATCGGTGGGACGGGTTGGAGCGCAGAGAGGTGCCCGTAGGCGGGGCCAGGAGGACGGAGGAAGGTGGAGGCAGTTTGGGCATAGTAGGGGCGGGGGCGGGCGGGAGGAGTGCGGCGGGGGAAAAAAAAAAAAAAAAAAAGAATAAATAAATAAGGCGCGCGGCGCCGGGCCCCCGCGCCCAGCACCGCCGCACCGGCACGACGCGCCCCCCCACCCCGCCACACGCGGACAAACATAACCCCCCCAACCCAAGCCCGCGCAACCCCCACCGCACGGCCAGGCCCGCACCAGCGGGCGCACGCGCACCCGCCCCGCCGCCCGCCACGCGCGCGGCCGCCCGACGGCCCCACGACGGCACAAGCGCCCGCGCGCAGCCGCGCCGAGCGCCGCGGCCGCACCCCCGGCCCACACGACCCCGCGCCGCGCGCGCCGCGCTCTCGCCGCGATCCGCTCCCCGACACACGCCCACACACACCCCAACCCGACGGCCCCCGCGCCGCCGGCCCACCCACAACACCGCAACAACGCCGCGCACGCCGCCCACCGCACAGAACCCGGCCGCCAAGCCCACCACCACCACCGCACGGCCGCGGCGCCCAGCCCCCCCTCCCCCCCCCCCCCCCCCCCCCCCCCCCCCTCCCCCCAACCCCCCCCCACCCCCCCCCCCCCCCCCCGCCCCCCCCCCCCCCTCCCCCCCCCCCCCTCCCCCCCCCCCCCGCGCGGCATGCACACCGCGGCCACCCCCCCACTGCGACCGCGACGCGCCCGCGCGCCGAGCGCGCGCCCGCGCCGCGCCCGGCACCCCCGCCGCCACGCGCCCGCCGCAGGACCCGCCCGCCCGGCGCGCGCCGCGGCGCGCACCACCAGCGCACGCGCACCAGCCGCCGCGTGCGCGGCCCCGGACGCGCGCGCGCGCGCGCAACGCCGCGGCAACGCCGACCACAACACCCAAACACCACACAACCAACAGCACCGGCCGCGCGCGCGCGACACCCCGACCACCGCCCGGCCGCGGGCGACGCGCAACGCACAGAAGCCCCCGGCGCCACCGCGCGCCCACGCCCGCGCAGCACCCCGCCCGCCGCACCCCCACGCGACCGCAACGCCACACACACCACGCCCGCGCCGCACCGCGGCGCGCGCCGCCGGCCCCCCCCCGCCACGCCGCCACACACCGCCCGAACCGCCACCCCCCACGCAAGCACCGACCCGGCCCCACCCCCCCCCCCCCCCCGCGCACGCGAGCGCCCAGGCCGACACGCCTCACCCGCGCCCGACGGCGACGCAGCCCCGCACCAGACGCGCACCACGGCCCCGCGCCACCGGCGCCCCCCCCACGACCCGCGCGCACACAAGGCGCACCGACCGCAGGGAGCGGAGCCCACCCGCCCCAGGCACAGCGCCGCCGCAGCGCCCGCACGGCACCCACCCCCGAGCCGAGCGCACCGCGCCGCCACCGGCCGCCCGACGACGACGCCACCCAGCCCAGCGACGGCACACTGGCGCCCGGAGGCGGAAACGCCGCACCGCCGAGCCACGAACACCGCGACCCGCGCCCACGGCACCCGCCAGCGCGACCACCACGCGCGCCGCGGCGCACGCGGCGCGCCCCCGCAGACCACCCCCCGCCGACCGACAAGCCCCGCGCACCGCAACAGCGAACACACACCACACACCCCAGCCACGCAAACGCGCACCCGCAGAGGCCCCCCCCCCCCCCCACACGCGCGCCGCACACATCCCACCAACACCCCACCCCCACACCAAACCCCCGCACCCCACAACACGACACGCCGCCCGCGCACCACACCCACCACACCACCATACCACCACCGCCACGCGCAAGCCACCCCGACGAGACCGCCCCGCGCCGCCCAAAACCCACCACCACGCAACGGCCCGCCACCCCCCGAGCACACACCACCACAACAACATAGACCCCCGCCAGCACGCGAACCAGCCCCCACGCGCCCCGCACACCCGCACACCACCACCAACACCACACCCCCGCACGCGCGCCGGCGCGCCCACGGCCGCCCACCCCGCGCACGCACGCCGCCACGCCCCACCAGCCGGCACCCCCCGCGCCTCGGCCGCTCCGCGCAGTCCCCACGGCCGGGCCCGCGGCCCCCCCGCACCGGCACCACGCGCTGCGCCGCTCCCCTTCGCCCCCCCCCCCCCTCCCCCCCCCCCCCCCCCCCCCCCCCCACCCCCCCCGCCACCCCCCCCCCCCCCACCCCCCTCCCCCCCCCCCCCCCCCCCCCCCCCCCCCCCCCCCCCCCCCCCCCCCGCACGCGCCGCCCCCCCGCCCCCCGCGCGCGCGAGGCCCCGGCACACGCGCCCCCCCCGCGCGGCACACCCCCGCACCCCCGACCCACACCCCCGGCGGCCCCCGCGCAGCGCCCGCCGCCGGCGCCGCCACACGCCCGCCCCACGCGCGCAGCCCCTGCCGCCGGGCCCCCCGCGCACCCGGCAACACCCCCCGCAGACCACGCGCGCCGCCCCGCCGCCGCCCACGCCCGCCCCGCCCCGCCGCGCGGCCCCCCGACCGCGCGCCGCCGCCCGCCGCCTGGCCCCCGCACACACCCACAGCACCAACACCCCCCCCCCCCCCCGACCCCCCCACGCCGCCCCGCCCCGCGCCACGACCGCGCCACGCCACCCGCGACGCCCCGTCGCCCCCCCCGCCGCGCCCGCGCCCCCCGCGACCATCCCACCCACTCGCGGCGGCGCCGCCCGCGCGCACGACAGGCACCCCCCCGCCGCGCGCCCGCGCACACCCCACCGCCCGCCCGTCCCGCGCCGCCGCGCACCCGGGGACCCGCCCACCGACCGCCAGCCGCCGCCGGCGCCCGCGGGGGCTGTTCGCGGGGACGGACAAGCGACTACCTGGCCGCGAGGGGCGCAGAACGAATGTGGCACCGAGCGGACACCTGCGGGGTCCGCGGAGCGGGTGCGGAGCCCAGGGGGCCGAGGGTTGCCGAATACGGTGGGAGGCCGGACTGGGCGGCGGAAAGGGGGACGGAACTGAAGGCAAGGATCGGGGCACAAAAAAAGCGGGACAGGCACAGGACCACCTAGATGGACAAATTACGGTTGGAGTATTTATCCGAGGAAACTAAGATGTGGAGGAGGAAGGGGAATAGATGTATAAAGTATAGCAAATAAGGGAAAGAGAAAGTGTAAAAGTTCGGGGGGTAGCTACCGTAAAGAAAGAGAGGAGGCACTAAAGCAAACTATTATAGGGGGAAAAAAACTCCGCCCATTCTTTTAAAAGAGAATCGTAAAATCAGTATAGGTGAGAGAACATCGCCGAGCAGAGCAATAAGGGACTCTGACAAGAGGTATCAGGTGATATCAGAGTAGAGCGGGAACGCAAAGATAAAGGAGTCAGATAGAGGGATAGTGGAACTGCATAGGGGACGGTGGAGGCAGACATGCAGGCAAAAAGAAATAATAAGGACTCTGTTATATTTTGACGAAAAGTATGAGGGATAAAGTTGTAGGTCCTATAATATTAATACATAAGAAATACATAGCTTTAAGCGAAGCTAACGAGAGTATATGGGCAAGGAGGTGTAGAGAAATAGTCATGGATAGGTGTAAAGATATAAAAAAAGCAAAGAGAAGAATTACCGCAAGCCGCGCAAGGAGGATCTTAGAAGACCAAAATAACGCAATAGCGTAACATGTCAAGGCAAAGAGTAATAAGTCAGAGCGCATCACATTGTTGGTACTAGTTGAAGATGGTTGTACAACTCAAAATTAGGGTGCAATACTATGGAGCAGTAGATTACGATAGGTTGTAGGAAGCAAAATATATAAAACAAGATACTAATAACCGTATAGGGCAAACTGGTTGTGGTGAGTACAATTAGCTTCTAACGCCTAGTTGGGATGATACTGTGATTCGGTTTCATTTTTTGAGTGTTTCAATGGAAATTTGGTAATGCGGCGGGTGTCTAAACAGGATATATAGATCATATTATGTCCTTTGCACTGACTTTCCAGTTTTCTTAAAGATTGTATGAGTATTGTGAACCATATAATGAAGGCAGTGGCCTATTATTTAAGGTTATTTATAGATTGAAGGCTTAATGAGAGATGCTTTCATTGTATATGATGGTGTGGTGTACATTAAAATGTAGTGTGGAATCAGCAAGAAGAAACAGCGGTAAAGCTGACACCGTCTAGTGTATATGTAAAGAAGGAGCGGCTGACTAAGCAAGTACAATTCACAAAGGGGCATATATAACACTAGAGGTATAAAAACTTATTGGATGCATGTCCAAAACACCAAGAAGAAATCGCGTCCCCGGTCTCAAAATCTGCCAATGGAGAAAGAGTGACTATATAGAGATATTCTATACGGAATACCGAGGGTGTAGTGACATTGGGTTGATTTAGGTCTATGGCACTGGCTAACAAAAGGAAGATGGTATATATTATAGTGTTTCCAGTACAACATAGTGGAGAGGGGGATGGTGACTGATACATCTCTCATGATAATGTATGGATGAAGAGTAGTAATGGTGTTCTGAATGGGTCAGTACAACACTATAGCCCAACAGAGTGACGTACTGTGAAAGAGGGCCGAGAGACTTAAGCATGTAAGGGACAGGGGCTGTGAATAGGAGGGTAATAGCAAAGGCATTTATTTCAAGGAACAAGTACAGTAGAACATCTTCACTTTGACAATCATGCATATAAATTATCGAAAGGGTTATTTTCAACCAGGTAAAGGGCCACAAAAACACGCCTGACACAGCAACCACCATGAAGATGGCGAACCGTGTACAAAAGTAAAGAGATCTGATGAAATGCCCGCCGCGGCTTAGAAGAGACAAATCAGCGCATATGGGTTTTATAGACTGAGAAGGAGCGGCAATTAAAAATAGGAGCAGAGATTAATGTGTAAAAGCTAATGCTTAACATAGGGCAACGCTCAAAAAAAAGAGCTTAGCAAAGCGAAATCCAGAACAGGCGCAGGTGTAATGAATATGGTAGGCGCTACATGGGTATGGGACAGAAAGGAGTATGTACATCTGCAGTGGAGAGCCGAAGCGAGCCAATAGAGAAAAGGATGTACGTGTACTAATGTTTAAAGTGAAAATGGCTCAGAAGTCCCGTGAATAGGCTATGACTCAATGTTCTGATGAAAACGAAAAACGTGAAATTAAGTAGAATCTCATGTCGGAATCCGACCAATGATATCAAAATGGCTAAACCCTTTAATATAGGCGATTCGAATTATGGAACAGTGACAACTAAAGGCATTAAGGCCAACACACCCACATCAATAAATGGCAATTTGGTATCTTTTATTAGGCAAATCGACGCCCACGATCAATGTGTGCATTAAGAGCAGACGAGCCAGGCAGGAGAAGGAGGGAGTGGCAAACACCAATGTTAGTGGAAGACACAGCCCGATACCACAATAGAGCCACAAGAGGCGGTCCATTACGACAGTGCGGCACGCAAGGTGCAATGATTAATATGCAGACAGAAGAGTTGTTCGTTAGACTCACTCACACTTAGACACACAGCCACTGAAGCTTTACTACAATAATTAATATCAATAATGAAAACTATCATATGTACTTAGATATTAATTTACCCAGAACCTAAGAGTTTTCCCAAGATTAAACGTATTATCCAGCAGATTCATTTATTTTAACACTTTTATTATTTAAGGCTAACCATGCGGCCCCAGCCCTTATATGTAGGTCTACAACTAGATGTCTAGTAGATCAGTAGACATTGATCTCAGAGGACGGCTTTGAATGCAATATGCATTGTAAGGGCATTTTTGCTCTATGAAAAGAGAACTCGCCTGTAATAAACACGTTGAGCCTATCAGCATTGATCAAGTGCGCTTTTATGAACTAATCAGAAGGGACGAATTACCTAAAAAGGTAAGTGTGAAAAAGTTATAGATGAAAAACCCGATCTTTAGAGTTATTCCAATTGGCCCCGTGTATATATTTGATTTACGCTCATCAAGAGCAGATGTTTTCCGCTTTGTAGAGGTGAGGACACACTTTCGGGATACGGACGATCTGGTGATTTGTCAAGAGAACGACCCGACGGCGGACGAGCTATACATCGAGTATAGACACATAGTATGAGAGCTGACCTTGACTATCGCGTCCGTATACGCACTAACGGTATTTTTATAAGTAGTGATCAATGTAGGAAGGCGTACTACTGCTTGCCGGGCGAATCACACCAAATACTGTTGTTATATTGAAGAATGTCTGGGGGCGTTCTTGCCCTCATTATTGACGATGCCAATTAATAAGGATTGTAGCTCTTTGTAAGGATGGGAGCGGATATGAACATTGTACAAGTTTGAGTAGCACGTAAGCATAGAGTGTCCGATATGACAAATAAGGAGAACCTATTGCACGAGCAATGTAGGTACGGATATAAAGAAACACGACAATAAATCCCTAAAGAGAGCTTCACACCCAGCGGGTCAGACTAGTATCCCGGACAGAAGCGGTGATCTATATTGATAAGTGGGCAATAAGTCTAGTAAGAGAAAGGACCTCTACCAAACACACTCCCAGTGTGATGTGACTTCTTTAGTGTGTGTACGCTTTCTTTTTATTTTACAATTTTCATATTTTTATTGCGCCTAATCTTCTAAGTGATTATCTTTCTTACAATTCGATTTTGAGAGCGCTTATCTTTATTGTTTATGAATTTAAAACATCTTACTCATTTTTGTAATTCAACTTTTTTGTCTAAAAAAAATAAAAAAAATTAATAATTTTAAATAATTGTTTTTTCATTTCATACAGCTAAAAAATATTAACATCTATTTTTTTTGTCTTTTTCTTTCTCTTACATATACTTTGTTAAAATTTCAAAATTCTTTAAAAAAAAGTTTAAAATAAAAATTCCCTCTTGTGCTTGCTAAACCTTATTTGAATTTTCAACTTTGATAATAAATACCTTCAAATTTATTTGAGCTTATTAGTTAACAATGTTCTTTAAAATATATTAAATAAATAAATAAAATAAAAAAACATTCTATACAATCAATCTATCCTATTTGGAGGAATAAATGCATTACAATTATGAACGTTAGAACTTTTTAATTAATAACTTCTACATCTTATAGTTTATAATTATCAATGAATTTTTAAAATTAAAATTAAGATAATTTAAACAAATAAAAACATTCTTAAAATCTAATCATAAGACATTAAAACAACAAAACTTAAATTAAAATTAAATATCCTTTGACCTTAAAAAAATAAAATGATAGACAACTTTAAATAATTAAATCCCAGGATCTATCCAAAACACACAACCTTTACACATACTCTAAATGATTTCCTAGGATAATTAACTCCAGCCTAGGTTAGGCAATTGGTTTACTTTTATTTGGAGTACCTTCCTGGAGTGTATTCTTTTTTGGTGAGTTTATCTTCTATACTTTAGTGTGTTTATTTTATATTTTAGATGTCATACTATAAGTTCACAGCATACTTTAGAAGTCATGCATATTTGATTATATTCTTAAATTTAAGATATTAACAGATATTCTTCAGTACGGAAAGTAAGAATATTAAACTTAAATGTAAAAATAAATGAAAATTTAAATGTAAAATCTTATGTTATAAAACAAGATTGAGTTATAACATATAAAGAGTTGTAATAGTTTTAAAAAAGATTGTTTATACACACTTGTAGGTTCTGAAAGGTAATATTTTCTCTTCCTTGAATAAACTTTCTCTTTTGGAATTCTATAGAATATATAGGAGCTAGAATATTTAAAGATTAAAGTAAATAATCATGTTTAAATCTATATTGTACATGTGTA